GGGAAGTCAAGCGAGTTTTTAGTTTCCTTGTTTCGAAAATATCCTGAGCTCCAGGTATATGCCGCACTTTGGTTGCCAGAAAACGCGATGGATTTCCTCGATACTGTAACGTTAGAAGGGTACGTGCGCCTTTCTTCAATGTAATCACTCCTCGATTCGGTGCAGAAGAATCTGGATTTTTTTCCTTCAATTATTTTACATAATGAATGTTACACTTCTCCATCTGACAATTGTTACATTGATTTTCCAATCATTGGTTTCTATCAGGGAACAAAACCTCGGTGAAATTGTCTCAGCTTGAAGTAATCGTACACACCGATGAACTGTCTCCTCAATTGCATTTCATTTGCATTGCAAAGGGGCAGAATTTTTGAAATTTATTTTTGTGCTAATATCATGAGTTTCTGATACCAACCGCCTCAAAGTTCATTTTCCAAGCCATGAAGGTAAAGTAATTATCTGGTTTATGAAGAGTGAAGGGAAGTCTAGATTCGGGTGCAAATTGTTTGCTCTGCCTGTAGAAATACCTCTTGAACACTTTTCAACACAGTTCTAACAATATCATTAACATACAGTATGATAACTTTAATACCCATTTCAGTTATTGTTCCCTTTCACGTTGTTCTATAAATGCCATAACCATATTGTGTCAGAAATAATTGCTCGTTCGGATTCTGATAAACTTGCACAGTTTTCCAGTTAGCAATTCAAGCAATTTTAAGTTCAACTCTGTTCTGTAGGTCAGTCTCTCTAGATGTTAAGATCGAACAGAAATTTGGTATTTTATTGAGTGGTTAAATTGAGATGGTATCAATTTTTAATGATGGGTTGTTTTCCGTTACTTTTAGCCAGAAGTTGGTCCAAATGACAACAAGCTAAGATCACAGAGCAAGCCCGTTTTTTGTATATTCCACATAATGTTAATTTTAAGTTTGTTTTACTTACTGCCATGTTTAACAGTTTTTTTATTGTTTCCGAGTCAATTTGAAGGCGTGGCTTGTTCGTACAATTTTTCAGTCCTGCAATTTTCCAGTCTTAAAGGAGTCCAATAAAACAATCTAGTAATTTAGATAGATTTTAAGAAAAATGATCCCGAAAATGCACTAGAAGTTTTATAGAGAAAGTTTGGACGACAAGACTGTTGATTGTGAAGTTTCCCCACATGATCTGGATACTAGTTCACTAGAACTAAAAACTCTGATCTTTCTCTCTGGCCGTCGTACCCAGTCATTAAACTCTCTATCCAGAACAAGAAAGTTCTACTTTAAAAATGTAATTATGCAAACTGCGAATTGCAATAGGCCTAATAACAAGTTGACTCTTGTTTTATTTCTAGCGTGTTTTCCGCAACTGCGTTGTTCTGATTTTTGAATTTCTCGTTTCAATTGTTGCCAATTCGAGATGTTGAAAAGTTCAGTTCGATCCACAAGCAAAAACTTTTTCATATGACTAATTGACACGTATGCATATCGTCTGCATATTGCACCAAAGTACAATCGTGAGATATCAGTTTCACTATATCACTGAGATATAAAATGAATAACAGGATCTAGTACTGTGCCTTGTGACACACTGCTTCTAACTTCAATCCAGTCACAAAGCACTATATTCACTTTAGTTTTCGGAAGCGTTTGTTGAGAAAAACTTTATTTCGAACGAGTAATTGTTAAGACAATTTGAAATGAAACAAAATCAAAAGTCTTAAAAAACCCGATAAAGCCCCATGAACAGTTTGTTAGAATCTATTTCTTTTCGAATTTTTTCTACATTAATTTTAAATCGACGCATCTTGTATTGAGATCTTTTCGCGAAATCAAACTGAAACGGAGTTTTTCTATTTGAACATAAAAAATTTTAAAGTTCTCGGAAATTGGCCATGGTAATGAAGTTTTTTGATTAACTTTTTGGATTAGTTCAAACATCTTTTTGAATAAGATTGTGAAATTTGCTTTTTTCGGTTCACAATTATTGCCCTAGCGGGTATGGTAGAAAGTAGAGGTTTTCTGATATTCAATTCTCGAAGTACATCATAGCATTGCTTCGTTTTTAATTGCTGCAAAAGGAAAAAAAGAACTTCAGACTTAACTGGGTTATGATTTTGAGGCTTGAAAGTGCCCCAAAAATTTGCCGAATATTTAAAAATCTTGTTGAATTGATTTCCATATTTCGATCCATATTTTGGTTTTTCATGTCAATGAAACAGTTACGCACTACAATATGTTTTGATGTTGCTTCAACAGGAGTCATGAACTAGTTTTTCTTATTTTCCATTTCTGGTAAATAGTTTTCCAAATGGAAAAAAAACCCTTTTGTCAGTGCTTTTTTGTTCATTCGTAAATATTATGCTAATTTTTCTTGACATGGACGTTAATTTAAACAACTTTGTTTGGTTTTTGACTTTTTTTTACGTTTTAAATTTTTGTTTGCATTCTGAATTGAATCACGCTGACATTAGTGTAATTTCAGCTTCAAAATTACGAACATTTTTCTGTTTGATCGGTACATGTTTTTAGTAAGCATTAGAAACTAAATATAAAAGCTTTGAAAGCTTGTTTCGTTCGTCTGCCAATTGGTATAACTAAAGTCAAGAAGAGAGGAAAGTTATTCACAAATGTTTGATTTACGGTAGTTATCCTTGTTGAAGGTAAGAAAAAATTTTCAGCATGTTTTTTTCACATTTAACAATTGTGAGAACAGGTGACTCTTTTTCCGTTAAACCTTTATGAGCAAAGTTGATTGCTGTTTCTTTCTTAACCATTAAAAAGTTATCAATATGATTTTTTTTGCGTAAGCACTGACTCGCTTCTCGTCATTTCCCACAGAAAAAGTTTTAATCCATAAGAAGTAATAATGAGATCCATGTTGTCCTTTTCTGATTTTTTCAATTAGTTTTTGTTGCCTGCTTGTTGCATCAGAGTACATTCATGAGATATTCGTTTCTGTAAAACATAGATAAAAAAAATTAACAGCAACGTACGTTATGGCACATTTCTCTTAGCTTTCATCCAGTCTAAAACGACTTCATTCGCATTTACACTTTGGAAGCGTTCATTAAAAAACTTAAGTTTTTGCAAATGCTTGAACTGAAAACCTGATACGGTAAAACTTTTGTACCATGACTTGATTTGAAAATAGAGTCAAGTTTTTTTTGAAAGACCCGATAGAACTATTTGAACATTTTTTTAGAGTCTTTTTCTTTTCGGATACTTTCTCTAACGTAGATCAACGCATCTTTTTTGGAAAGTTTTTCTTAAAAATTCAAATTTAAATCGAGTCATCGTTTAGAATTTTTCTTTGAGAAAAGACAGCTTTTGATAGATATTGGAAAAAGCATATGTTTTTGAAACATATCGATAAGTTTGAAGATCCATTGACCGTATTTTTGAGTTCAAATACTTTTTCCAGTTCAGATAGAAAAAAGTTCTCATCTATGCAGGCATCAATAACATTAATATAAGTCAAAATTTTTAATTGGCCGTCAATTTTTGCACAAACAGGTACGGTAGAAGATCCCACGTGTTTTGTGATACTTAATTTTTATAAGACATTGCAGCATTGCATCATTTTTATGCGCTGAAATTGAAAAAGTTGAAACTCCGACTCAACTTAGTTATGTTTTTGAGACTTAACAGAGCCAAAAATTTCGCTCGAGCCAAAAGTTTGAAAATATTTTGTTAACTTGATAGCATTTTTTTAAATCTTGGGTTATGTTTTCATTTATTTAGTTGCGTAGCGCAGTAATTTCGCTTTTGCTTGAACAGGAACAAGGAACAAGGTTTTTAATTTTCCGAACAAGGTTTTTAATTACTTTTTAGAAAGGAAAAAAGTAAACACCATGCGAATGTTTTTCTTGATTATCCTTAATTAAAATGGCTATTTTTTTGACGGAGACATTGGTTAACCAAATTTTTTAAGGTTTTTTGAACCACTTTTGTTCAGCGCGTTTTTTACTACGTTTTCAGCACAGCAGCAGTTTTCTTACAACCCATAACAAGAAAAATCATAATTTATGTTTTTCAGTTGAAATTGTGGGGAATAGCTTGACATAAACGAAAGCATGAATTTTTATGATTTTATATTTTGTAGTGAGAACATGTTTTCAAATTTTTAGATTTCCAGATTTGCGTGCCTTGTTAGTCCGAGTTCACTACAAAAGTTATATGATGCATGTGAAGTTTTATTTGCTTTAGTAATGATGTGGGACCCTTTAAATTAAATTTATAGAAAAATTCACCTTGAAGTTTACAGTGTGAGGTAAACACCTCTTTTTGAGCGATGTTTGATCAATGCAATATTTTCATGGAAAGGTGTTCTCGAGCTGTAATTTTTTGCTCAAGTTGGACGACTCAGAAATTTCTTGGACGACTCAAGAATTGTTTTTGCGCGACCCATTTTGCAACTTTGTGCGACCCATCTTATATGTTTGAATATGTCTGACCCATTTTGAGTTATGTTGCGACTTTGCACGATTCAAACCTCTGGCGTGTGTAGGGATTTTTCGATCCATGTGGGTTGCTCTATGCGCTGAGCTTGTTGCTAATACTTATTTTTAAAAAAAATATATTTAGTTAAAAGCACTGCTTTACGACTGATCTCTACGGTGTACGATTGTTGATCGTTTAATTAACTATTTCTCTAGTTCCTTCGTTATTATACACTATTTATCACAATCAAATTTGAGCACAGTTTTTGATAAGTCTGGTTAATTTTTTTTTCTTCAGTCCAGCATCTTCAAATGTTTTGCCCAGATTGACCACTCTAGTTTTTGTCAAAAGCGGTGTCGAAAAAAAGTAGGATATTAGAATTATTCATCGTATTATCGAAATTAGAAATAAATATGTGAACTTAATTGCAAATACAAATAACTGTTTTAACAACTAATTGTTTATGGTTATAAATTTCTTTAATTGGTCCTTTTTCGTTTTGCCCGACATTTCTGCTGCTTTACAATTGTTTTTTTTTGTTAAAAAAACTACTTGTTTGCGAATTGGGGATCCAGGTTTTGGAGCAGAGTACTCACTGTATGCGCAAAGTGTTTTTGCGGGGCTGCGTGAACAAAGATAAAACATGTGAAAAGTGGCCGGTAAACTTGCGAAACGAAAAAGAACCCTTTCAACTATGTTGTTTTTTGTTTCTATAAAGTTTGTTTCGGGGTAGTCCCTCATACCAGCAGAAGGACCGAATGTCCAAAAGTTATTCTAGCCAATCATAATCTACTATACGAAGATATGAAATATCTGATTAGAATATCACTCTATTTTTTGACTGTTAATGAAAGTTTTTTGGTCGAAATAATTGGCGCATTTTGGGTCCTTCCTTCTGTGATGAGGAAAGTTCACCCACTGTTGTTTTTCTCGGCTACATGGATGACATTTTGGAGTCCAAGTGGTGCCCCCCGGGTAGTGTGACCACATTGTACTGCATACTGCGTGCCCCCTCCCCCGCGGCTGCAGCTAGAAGCTGTGGCCTCACACAGCAACAGAACACAATCAGGCATCCAGTCAACATCGACAACCCCACTCCTGGAACAGAGGGGGAAACGAATCTTTTTAAACTGATAAATCTAAGAAATTTAAAATAATTGCATGACTCAATTATTTAGTAAACTGCTATTTTTTTGCACATACCATGATGATTATATCATTTTTTGCTTAAGTGAAAAATTTTGACGTCCATTTTAAATTCGTTTTTTTTATTTTATTTTTCAATGAAGATCTACCAAAAGAGGTAAGATTTGAGCTTGGTCAAATTATGCAATAACTATAAATTGATACGATTGAAAATTGTTGGCGAATCTTTTGCGATATGCCACTATTGACAAAAAATCAAATGCTAACCCAGGAGCCCGCCCCCAATGTACATTTTGACGAGGCCTCCAGTCACGGCTCCTAGGAGTCCCAGAACCATGGGATCCATCTCTGCCTCTGCCTCGGCTGTCGCATTGGGGGTTGAAGCTAGCAAAGTCACAGAGTCCACAGACAGAGTTGAAGACATGTCACCTGACTCAAAAACATTGTATCTGTGTCTTCATTGAATTTTGATACTTTTGCCGACAAAAAGTTCATCAAAAACAACAATGGAAGAACAAAAATCTCAAAATTACCTTCCTTTCCTTGCTCTTTCACAGAAAACTTTCCGTCCTTTGAAAATTTCGACCTTACTAAGGACGAACTTATAGCAAACTGCCAATTTTCCGTTTCTTTCACCCAGTTTTGCCATTTTAACAATTTGATCCACAATCAGCTATATATGCATGAGAGCTACAAAAAGCGTACTCAATTCTGTGAAAAAAAGTTTTGTAGAGAAAACGAATATTGATCAAAAAGATAACAGCAATTTTTATGTAGTTTTTTCTAAGTTTGACAATTAACCGTGATTATATCGTGGCTAACCGTCAAACGTCTGCACAAACCTGTTGTATCTACGCAAATCTAAGTTTTCATTGAAAACCTTAAATTTCCCCTATAACCTCTTTTTTAACATTGTATTAACATATGATTATTTTTGAATATTTTTGTCACCTGTTGAATTTTGTGCAGCTGCAGCGGCTGCTTGCATGGCTCCTAGCTTCATGAGAGCAGGGACAAAGTTGAAGCCCCCCACCACCAGGAGAATGATACCTGTAATGGTAAGTATGGCCCCAATTATGGCCACTATCTTGATGGCCCGAACCATACACGTCAAAGTATCTGGCATTATGAGATAAATTATTTTTTAGATTTAGTCAACTTTTTTTGAAACTCTTAGAAATAATATTTGAAGAAATTACTCGAGAAAGATAAATTGACACAATCAATTCAAAGTTGAAGAGTTCACGTGGAAACGCTTTTCACAAAAAATAGTATTTAGGTTTGTTTTACTTACACCTGGTTTTAGCAAAAACAGTTTGCTTGAAGAGTTTTTAGAAGACAAGAGTTTAAATAAATTGTGTACAGATACATCCCAGGAACTGTAAACATTCAACAAGTCAGCTTCTTGGTGAATCAAATGAAAGTGAGTAGAACCGCCCGCATGACGGAGCTAGCGAATGAAGACTCTAGATACTGATTGATTGAGAGAACAACGAAGCGAGTTCATTTAATAATTTGAGGAAAAGTCTAAATAGTTGGAAAATTGTTTGGATTTTTTTGTTAAAGCATTCCATTCAAAACTGAATTATTCGTAATATGATATATCCACACGACTCATTCCGATTATTATTTGTTTTACCTGTGCTTAGAAAACAAAATAAAGACAGACCCGAATAAACAGTTCCTCGCCCCATTTTTAATTGTCGGAGTTATAAGTTTTTAATAATAAGTAGAAGAGTTTTAATTTGGCAAGGCTCATTAGAAATTGTTCGGTAACAATTTTAGTATAAAAAATATGATAAAAATATGATAGATGGAACTCGTTTTAAAGACCCCGTTGAGAACTCACAACGAGAGCGGCAATGTTTGTCCTGAATCCTCCCTCTCAAATTTTGGGCGGAATGTTTCCGTCTCTACTGTAGTCTGCATTAAAAAGATTCGCTGACAATATGGTTTTTGGACGTGCTATTTTGATATCAACTAATTTTAGCTTTAGCTCTTTTAATTTACCGAACAAAAACAAATACTGATTGTCTGAAGGCGAGCCCCTGCATGTTCTGACTTCGTTTGAAGTGTCTGACGGAAACTCGGAAAGACATTTGTGAAAATTTTTTGTAAAAAAAAAATTAAAAGTATTTTTACGGTATAATTTTCGTCTATTAAAACATTATTTTGATCCACCCGCGTGCCGCATTTCTGTTTTAGCCGGATTATTTGGAAAGGAAAAGTATAATTTTCGAGCGTGTGTATTACTCTGATTTGTCAATAATGATATTTTCCAAATCCACATTATCTCAATAAAATTATCACAAGTGAAATATTGTTTTTTTTTCTAGTTCAGATCAGAATATTTTATAGATAGCGTTGTTCAGCCCACATTGGCCCAATTCACGGTCTTTAAACACCCATAACCTCACAAAAATTATCATATTTTTAAATTTATAATGAAATGCGAAATATGATTTGAATATAATAATGAAATTTACGTTTAAATTTGAGCTCAGGACAACAATACCAACTGCGGTTGATATACAAAAAAAAACATCTAAAATTCCTAGTTTAAAAGTCGAAATTTATCAGAAAAAAAACACCCTGAGCACAAACATTTGGTCACTTTCTTCGAAAATCGGGGAAAAATACTTCTCAATTGATCATTTTTCATTATAATTATAATGGTCTGAATTTGGGACTAATCTGATGACTATAACCCAATTTGGGATAATATACTCGTGAGCGGTAATTTCATCCGGCTCAAAAAAGTTGTTAGAGTCAAGTTATTTGGAACTTTCAATATGTTGCTGGTCTTTGTACTTTACAGATCCTGTTGGAAAATCAAAATCTGAAAAAAAAACATTTAGATGTACTTTTTCTTTTTTGGGCTCTTTTCCAGTTCCCCCCTTTCAAATTTAATTTTGAAAAGCTTATTTAACCTAGTCATAATGCAATGAAATTTGGCGTGGTGAACGATCGACAAATGTGAACAGATTTGTTCTTCATACTTTACAGCGTAAAATCACGCATTTAGCTGTAATAACACGTAAAACAAACATAAAACTCGGTATTTTGAAAGGGGGGAACTGGAAAAGAGCCCATTTTTGTTTTTGAAGTTTCATTAAACAAAACTACGGCTCATTGCGGCCTACTGGTTTATTACTGATACGTAGGGGCGGATTTAGGGGAGGGTCACAGACGCCCCGTCTCCCCTCAAGGATTCGACCCCCTGCCGACCCAAAGGGTCCCCCTTCTGTACTATTTTGAGTTACCCATTTTTGGTGACGGACCCTAAAATTTTTCTAAAGGCGCTTTTGGTGCCAATATATACTACTTTTAAGGGGGGAGCAAGCGCCGAAAAAATACAATTTTTTGGTCCAAAAAGTGCCTAAAAACGCTTTTTGCCTGTTTTTTTTAGTGCTTTGGGAGAGCATTCGAAAAACCAATTTGGTCGACCGAAAATTTTTGAAAATCCGCCAATCCCCCCTCGAGAAAGTCCTAGATCCGCCCCTGCTGATACGAATAGTCTAGATCTCGATTTGAATTCAGTTTAAAAAAATTTTCATGTGAAAACTTGATTGGATCAATGCTAGTGTATTGATACAGTGCGGTTTCGTCTGCGACTTTCTGCCCAAGCTAGGCCCAAATTGTGAACAATTTGTATCCGAATGACGGTCCCAAAAAGCACATCAAGATTGTAGAAGTGTGTTATGGATCTCTTTTTTAAAAAGATTTTAGTATCATTTTTTTCAAATATTCCATTCAAAACTTTCCTCTTCTCCACTTCACATATCACACACTAAAATATTAGATTTTACGATAATTTGATTTTTTTTTCATTTTGTTGGAACAAAGAATTGTTGCCACTTATTTAACCGGTTACTAAAAATCAACTAAGTAGACGAGTAAAATATTTGTAGCTCAGCTTTTTTGTAGTGATTAGTTTGAAAAATCTATGGTTCAGCCGTATCATATATAGAACGCTTATAGTGCACAGAAAACGTAATATATTTTTAATCATATTGGTCAAATCAAGCTGGTAAAAACCAAAAACCATTCATTCAATATAGTAAGTTATAACGTTCTAGCGTTTTAACAAATATTTTCTTAAGCTTATAGAATCTGGTGCAGATCTCCACTATTGTGCTTTTCATTGGAACGTTTTTTTTTTGTTTTTGTTGTTTTATTTTTGAACAATAATACTTAATTCGATCGGCTTTCGGCAGGTGACAAAAACCTTTGAGATTTTAGTCTGATCGTAACGGTATGACTACACTTTATAATCGCCATCAGCCTAATACACAGGCTAATCCGCTGAAAAATAACCAACATCATCAGCAGAAGAAAGAGAAACAGCAACCGCCTCAAACGCGGTCAGAAACTAACATCACGCAAACACAGACGCAAACGGTGCCTCCCACCAGAGCGAATGCGGCTGCTGTAGAATTGATAAACAAGATGAACACTGACAGTATCAACAGAGCTAACCAGGTAAAGTCAGTAGAGTGACAAAAGGAGCTACCACCCTTTCCAGTCCCTCCCCCAACCCCCCTCTTCCCCCCAACCCCCCACTTTTGTTTTCCTAGAATTTTTCCTAGCATTTCGAACTTAAAACTACTTCACTGCTACTAATTTAAACGGACCGACTTACCATTTACTAAAAGCGCTTCGGAGCCAATAGCACTTCTTTTTATCAGAGAAGCGCAGTATTTCAGCAGAACTCATAGATCACAAGGCTAAAATGAAAAATGAAGTCACAAAAAAAAATAAAAATTTGGGCCCAAAAATTCCAGTGAAAGCCGTTGAGTGATATGAGCATTATTTTGAGCGTTTTCATTAAACCAGTGAGTCCCCAGTCCTGATTGATTATCAAACTTTTTGTAATCAAATCCATGTCCGTCAGAAAGTTCAGTTTAAAAAAACCAATATCAACTGATTTGATAATTTTACGCGTACGGCTAAAAGTTTCCTGGATAGTCAGAAAAACCCGCGTTGATCTCCATAGAACCAAACGCCAGTCATAAATCTCTGTAAACAAGCTCTATTAAAAAAACTCTAGTGATACAGTTTTCATGAAACTGATTTTGACCTTTTGATGAAACTCCATTACGAGAGCAAACTGTGTAGTTTGTGGACAATCGCGGCTCGGCAATCGGCCGAAAACAGACTTGTGCTGAATCGGCACATTTTCTTTGATCTTCTTTGCTGTTTTTAATTCCACAAACAAATAGCTAAAAAACTGTAATTTGCTCCAAAAAACAAGTGAATTTGGAAATTCCGCAAGCAAAGAGTGTATCGCATGTCCTTGTGTATTTTTAGCATATGCTTAGTAAAATTACTCTTTTTAGGAATCCGCAACTTTAACTGGAAACCGCCACTCTTAAGCGGCTTCCACAAACTGTATTTTTAATCCTCAAATTGTCAGCGGAATCAGCCGAATTCATATACGTTTTCGGAACCCGTCTACAATTTGCGGACATCACTTACTACTTATCCGCTACTCAAATTTGAAGGATCCGGAACAACTCATTTTTTGTGGAGTCCTCGACAAAACTAATTTGCCGACAAAATTTACGTTACTCGTATTTGAGCGCGGAATCCCAGAAATGTTTCGGTAGAATCCACTTACATTTTATAATATTTTTAAAAACTTGTCCCTGGATTCCAGTTATTTACAGTCAACAAATTGTGCGGTTGTCGAAAACACAGTTTGCCCTCGTAATGATGGTGCCGCATTTTGAAAAGTTGGGTTATTCTGACAACAAATGCGTATCCTGCCCTTTCCGTCATCTGCAAACGGTACTCATATCTTTCTTCCGTTTTGATTATTAATGGAAAACAAAGGTTCTTAAACCTAACAAAAAATGTCGCGACACTAAAACTTGTTAAAAACAAGACTTCAATCTTGCCCAATTTTTTTCGTTATTTTTTGAATAGCAACAGGGTTTTTATTTTCAAAAAAATAGGAGCAAAAATAGGAGTAAAAAGATTTATGGTTTGCTCATAACGTAATTTTGAGTACCTAAAGACTATTTTTTTTTGCTTTTTCTTGGTATTTTTTGAGAAATGGCTTGCTTGAAAAATTTTTTATACAATTTTTTTTAAATTGTAGATTAATTTCGATGTGTACTATGTACGATTGAATGATTCGGTTAAGATTGAATGTACAGGCTGAATGATTCGGTAATGCATCTATATAGAAAGTTATGCCCTATTTCTTCCTTTTTCAATATCAAAAAAAATGTGTATTTGAGGCTGGTTACTACTAAAAATTGAGCGAAAATGTTTTTCTGTTACAATTTTACCCATTATAGTGTTAGGTCACCGCAAAGTCATGAATCCTTTGCGAATGTGTACATGAAATCATATCTGCTCTTAGCTTAAATGTTTGTCCTTGATTTAATATAAAATAAAGCTCTGGGTTGAGAAAAAATCTAGTGGGTTTTTGCCTTATGAATTTAACGAGTTGCATCTTATATATCAAAGATTTTATACAAAACTTATTTTTAAACAATTTTGAATAACCATATTTAAGCAATTTTTATATGAATGCTCGCAATTAAAAAAACCCGAAACTTGTAGAAATTTATAATAACTAGTGAGATACAATAAACTCCTGGAAAAACTTGGAAAAAGTCTAAAATTCTCGTCTTTTTTGTTGCATTGCATTCTGCGCTGCATTGCATTGCAACCGGCTACTCGTGTGTGACGAATTAGTTCGCTTGAATTTAAAAAAAAAATTAACTGTATACTAAAAATGAGTTCGATACAAACTTCATAAGCAATGTTTCCATTCAGGGACTTTACAGAAATTCTTCAAAGTTTTGAAAAAAAAAATTCAAAATTTTTTTATTTTTTGCATTGTGGTCAAATTGGTCATCTTAGTTAGGTCACACGATTTCTGGCCTGCAGTCAAAAATTGAGAAAGGTTATTTCTGTTTCAGAGTATCGTTGACCAATTGAAAAAGCAGAAGTTGATTCGAAGCAAGGATGTGAGAGATCTCTATCTTTCCCAACTGTTAGTCCTTTTTTCATCTTTGCAGTGAAGTGTCTTTAAAAAATTTAAATATGCCAAATCATAATTTACACTAGAATAATTTTTTAGAAGCTAGATCGATTGCAATGCAGTGATTTGAAAAAAAATACAGAAAAAAAATCAAGAGGGGAATCTTAGCAGTATTCGAAATTAGAAAAAAACTTTCGATTTCACCTCAAATTTTTTTTGTGTTATTTTGGTAAAACATTTTTAACGCAGCGACCTCACAGAAGTGTGTGACCTGTCCGAGTTCAAGAACCTCAGACGAGTGTGGCTGAACCAGAACCGACTGCGATTCGTGTCCTTCCTGCCCGGCAACTTCCGACTCTCCGAATTGCATCTGTCCGACAACAGCATCGTCACAATCCAGAACTCCCTTAGGTCTGTATCGTTGATGTAGTTTCGACGGAAGTCAATAGCAGTTTATCAAAACTTTTTATGGTTCCCAAAGTGAAATCGGAGCCGGAAGATGAAATAAAGAGCATTCTGGGAGGAGACTTTTTGAAACTTTAAAAATTTTGCCGCTTTTTCTTTTAATTTTCCTGCCTTCTCTTTATGAATTAAAACTTAAACAAGACTGCTCGTATCAGGGCGAAGCCCTGAATATTCCGACTGCCTTTTAATGTTTAAGGAGCAGTAATAATCTATAAAAATAAAATGTAATAAAATAAAATGAAAATTTTTTTCTAAAACTTGAATTTTTTTTTGAAAATCATCCCCCCACGCGCCATATCAAGTACAAAAGGATAGTTTTTGCTCCTTGTAACAAATCAATTATGGCAAATAGGCTTCTTTTAACCAATTTGGAACGATTTCTAAGATGGATTAACTCTCCGCTTACGCGTTAATAACGCGAAATATATCGCGCGTTAATTACCCAAATTGGCCAAAATGGCAATCTTTTAACCCTCGTAACTTTACGAAAAATGATCACAGGTGAAATATCTTTTCAAATTTGAGCTCAAGACAACAATACCTTTCGAATGACATAAAAACATTTTGTCAAAAATGGCTAGTTAAAAAGTCGAAATTTGTCTGAAGAAAAAAAACCCACCCCGAGCACAAATATTCCGTTACTTTCGTATCGAAAGTCGGAACAATAAGGTAGAGAGAAGTTTTTAAAGTTGTTGATTTAAAGATCAAAATCTTATTTCAAATTAATTATATTGGCAAACAAGGAAACCCTAGAGGGGTTTCAGCCTGGTTAAAACTAGGATTGATCGTCATCAAACTGCGCTATAGGTGGATAGCATAAAACCATCTCCCCTTCAACTTACATTTCATCTGATTCTGATTAATTCGAAAACAAACATCTTTGAAAATATAAACAAATTATTGGGATTTCATGTGCAGCAATCACTTTTGAACGAGTATCTTTTGTCAATCACATTGACAAGAATCTTGAAAGAGCGTTATTGGCGATCGTCTAAGGTATATTTTTCCACCCGTCAGTCATTGTTGAACCCTATTTCAGACACTTGACGGGTTTGCAGACTCTTAGTTTGAACAACAACCAGCTGAGCAGAATGGAAGAAACGGTGGCTGAATTGACCAACATGCACGGTCTTCACAACCTCAGTAAGTTGTTGCATAAGACTGTCGCATAACGATTACGTCACTCAAGTCACAATACTTTTCAGTTATTAAAAGGTTATGACTAAATGATTAGGCCTAATAACAATGTTTTTTTTTAAATGGATGAACTAAGGCTTTCATTTTAAGAAAATGTAGTTTGCAAATAGGAAAATTGGTTAAAAAAGCGATGATTATCAAGAATTATGGAAATGTTTCAGATTTATTCCACAACCCCCTGACGAGTGAGCCTCAGTACAGATCTTACGTGATTCATCATCTACCTGAAGTGATTGTGTTGGACCGGTCTCGTAAGCATAACTTTAATCAATAAAATACCCCTACCAAATAGGTTCAAAAAGCTCTAGTTAGCTATGGTGGTTATCATGTAATTTGCAGAGTTAGGCGGCTTCAAATCTGCAGAAAACTTACCGACCGCTAGACATCATCTCTGCCTAAACAATTCCTTAATTATTGACTCTCAGTTTTTAGGTTTTTGAGGATTATTCTAACTAAACTCATAAATAAAAGCTTATAGTTCAATTTAAAGCTTATTGTTAAAAGCTCAATACTTGTGTCAAATTTGTTACAGAAGCTTCGTTTGTTGAGAAAATAGAAAATAAAGAGATCAACCCGCAAAATAGAGTTTCACGAGAAAAAATTGATAATGTTAGATTAGGTAGTCAAAAACAGTTCCTTTATAAAGGATTAAAATAACACTTTTAAAACTCGAAATGGATTTTAAATCTACTATAATCAGAGCTTTTCAAAAATTTGAATCGTTTATACTCAATTCAAAACTCATTACAATAGCTTATATTCACATTTATATAATTCACATATCTAACATATTCCTATATAAAATTATATATATTAACATATATAATTCTATTTATATAATTTATGCTAAATACGAAATCTCCTAAACTAACTTAACCTCACTCCTAGGTTCACACTTACCTCCTTCATTCTTACACCCCCCCCCCCCCCCCACACATCCCATTTTTATTCAAAACCACTTGCTCAAACTTGGGGAGGATAAATTCGGGAGGTGGATAACAGGTAGGGGAATAAGAGGGGGGGGGGGATGGGGAAGGTAACTGAAAGGTTGGGTTATGTAAAAGAAAAAAATTATTAATTTCAAAGAAAACAATTCAAAATTTAGATATATTTCATAGATATTGGTGCCAAAAAAGCTCAACTTAACGATTGAAAAATTGACAAGTTTAATTTATTCACTAAAAGGTATTTTGAATTTCAGGTTCAGGCTTCCTTAGAAAGATTAATCTTTACAATCTATTATCAGTCAAATCAGATATTTATAACCTAATCAATTCTAAAGGAGATATACGAAAGAACAAATGTATCAGGGAAAACATAAATTTACGACTGTCCGTCAACATCGATGAAAAGGTCTTGAATTGAAAAAATTGTTGAAAAAAAATTGTTTAATTCTTTTGTGCATTTTCTTTTCTAATTTTATCCCACACCCGCTTTAATTAGTACAAATAGAGTCATTTTGCAATTGGTAACGTGTATGAATAAGCGCAGATTGAGTGCCGCAAGTAATGAAATAATTCTTTTTTCGTCAAAGTTTTCATAGAGAGATAATTGTCCAAAATTGAATCATACTTGGCAAAGTAGTTCCAAGCTCAAACCCCATAACTCTGCCAAAAATGACAAAATTGATTTTTTTTTGTTCCCTTTTGAAGAAAGTAAGAAAAATAAAATTCATTTTTTTATTCAGACGAGTTTTCAAAAAAATTACCTCTGGTGATCGAACTATGGATCTTCCTGGTCGTAGAAGGGTTGCGCTTACCACTAGACTATCTTGACTTAAGCTTGCTATGAAACGTTCATCATTATTTATGCGTTGCGAATTACCCCCTACCACAAAATCATTCAAAACTAAATTGATGCAAGCTAATTGGTCTCATTAATTCCTTACACGATATACAATATTCAGCTTAAAATTCATAGTTTGTCTTTCGGGCTTTGTTGACGATATCCCCAAAACGTGCTACTCTATTAACGCCAAGGCGGAGATTTATTTTGTATAAGAAATCGTTACAAAATGGATTGAGGCTTGCTCTTTAGTCTACCTAAAAGGGAAACCGCTCGTTCAGCAGGTCAAGTTTTTTGCATAAAAACTGAAATATCGGGCTTTTAGCAGACATGCAATTAGTTTGAGGCTATGCAATGATTTTTGTTAAAAAAATCAAAAAACAAATTTGTTTTTTGATTTTTTAAACAAAAATCATTGCATAGCCTCAAACTATTAGTGAATATAAGCAAAATATCTGTCAAGTTATGACCCCAAAATGAAACAAAAAGGTACTAAATGCTCCAAAACTTTTATCGGATATCAAACTTGATGCCGACATGGTTTATGGGATTGAGCAAGAACCGATGGTTCTCAAATCAAAAAGAAATAAACTTTTAGTTTTTGCTACTGATTTTGGCTTAAGATTTTTGGTTTTATTATAAGAAATTGTTTTGCTGATCGAACTTTCAAAACGGCTGAGGAATTGTTTTCATGTCTTAAAATTTTATCACAGACTACGAGACGGGTGTCATACCGGATATTCGAAAAACTTTCTTGTCTGGCAACATTCTGGTTGTTGGTTTCACTACTCCCAGAGCTTTTTTGCGAAAAACTCAGGAATTCGGGTTGTATATTTTCTATATTGAAAATCAACAGTTCAAAATTTTTTCGAAGTTTGCCATTTTGCACCAAGCAAACTCACTATGATGCCAGCAATTTATCAAAGAAAAATTCAGGATGAAAACAACGAAAATAAAAATGTGAGAAAATTTTTTGTCTATCTCAGAGAGTTTTGGATTTTGGGACTATTCCAATGGAAATGTAGAACGTTTTTGATCGACCAGTTACATTAAAGTTACGAACGTTTGCGAAGTCTGAACTTCATGCTGGAATAAAACTGAAGTAATTTTTAATTTATTTTTTTTCTAGAAAGCTTTGATAATATTCGAATAAGGAAATGCAGTCTCGTCTACAAATACGACTTCCGCTGGCTGCTGTCAATATGCATTCATAAGTTTCAAGAACCTGATATTTTGATCCTTTTTGATCCGAACAAATAAAAAAACTTTATCATTGGTCAATTTCAAGTCTGCTAAAAAACCGATGCGCTGTGTAACCGGTCTGCTAAAATCCCTATCACCATTTAAAGCTTATCTATATGCAAAATCTATCACTCTGTACTTTACATAGCGTGTGGGGGGATGACTTTCAAAAAAATGGAAACCTTTTTTTTGCAAATTTCATCAATCAATTTATTTCAAATTACTTCATAGAAGTTAAAACGCAGTCAGGGCTTCGACTCGATACGAACAATCTTGTTATTTTTTGTCTAGATGTGTTTATTTTTGGACAAATTTATGTGTAGTCGTGATGGAGGACGAGCGTTTGTTGGCTAAGCGCACATTCGCCCAGGAGAGGATGCGCATGGAAGACTCGGTGGGGTTCGGTCGACTGATCCGAGAGAAGCCGAGACTGAACAGACTCGACAACGGATTAGTCATCGCACCACACAAGGAAATTGGCAACAACTACAAAATGTAATTGTTCTTACATTAAAAGCACATTGCACATTTTTTTCTTTTTTGTTTTTAAAATCTTGGGGTGGATTATCATGATACTGCGTTACAATAAACTTATCTTAGACTTAAAAAACGAATTTAATGAAAACAAGACTGCTCGGATCAGGGCGAAGCCCTGATTGTTCCGACTGCCTTTTAAGGTTTATGGAGCAGCAGTAATAGCATCAAAAATTAAATGAAATAAAATAAAATGAATTTTTTTTTTTGAAATTTTTTATTAAAATCATCCCCCCACACGCCATATAAAGTACAAAAAGATAGATTTCGTGCCTTGTAACAAATCAATTATGGCAAACACGCTTCGTTAAACCAATTTGGAGCGATTTATAAGACGGATTAACTCTCCGCTCACGCGTTAATAGCGCAAAATATATCGCGCGTTAATTGTCCCAAATTGGCCAAAATTCCAATCTTTAAACCCCCGTATTTTTACGAAAAATGATCACAGGTGAAATATCTTTTCAAATTTGAGCTCAGGACAACAATACCTTTCGAATGATATAAAAAATTCCGTCAAAAATGGCTAGTTAAAAAGTCAAAATTTGTCTGAAGAAAAAAAAAACCCACCCGAGCACAAATATTCCGTTACTTTCGTATCGAAAGTCGGAACAATTATCTAAGTTTCCTCAATCTCTAAAGTTTTTAACTTTTCTAAGCCAAAAAAGCTGCAGTTGACGAACTGCTGTTGATACTTTACATGTGTTTATAGGCCACCAATGGGAGACGACGAAAAAGCGGCAGCTAAACGAGCCAATCAGAGAACAGTGATGGAGTTCACGCGATTTGATTGGTCCAAAGTTCCCCTATCTGAGCAGAGGAGACTAGACCCGGATGAAGATTACGAAGCTCAACTAATTACTGTTCGATTCCAGTAACTGGATATAAATTTAGCATTAGTCATCAAATGAAAATAAAATAAAGTCAAATGATTAGCGCTTTCTAAAGAGAAAACTTTTTTATGTAATGACAGAATACTGCCAAAAAACACGCTTAAGGACACGTATGGAGCCTTCCGGGCTTCAGGCATTCGGATTTTTTTTGATTGACTCGCATTAGTTTCGGAAACTGTTAAAAAAAGATTTTCTCAAAATTATCAAAAGTTCTAATACAAGTAGCCTGCTCTTGTCTCATAATGTTTCACAAAACCCGAGAATATCTCTTTATGTTCTGACTTGAGTTTTTGAAATGAAAATCTTTCGTTTTATTATTTTGAAATTTGTCTTTAAAGTTAGTTTGGTTTAAAAATTACATGAATGAAAAGCAATTTAACCATTAAAGATCTAGAGAATATTTCTCGAAATTAAAAAAAAGTTATAACTTTTCCCCTCACACTCAATGTAAAATACAAAATGACGCGTTTAGCTTCTAGCAATAATTTTTGTGGAAATGAGTGATTTAGTCGACTCATAGATCGTTCAAAAAAGAGTTGAGGCAAGCTAATTGGATCATTCAAAGAGTTGCAAGAAGCTAAACACGTCACTCTGTACATAAAAAAGGGTGGGGAGGAATTTTTTCAAAAACAATGATTAAAAAAATAGAGTTTTTTTTCATTTAATTTTTTTTTCAATTTTAATTTTTAATAACTTGTTTTAATGGAAATCAGTCTTTTGATTTTAAAGGGAACCGACGTTAAAAAATTGAGCAAGCGAGGACATAATCCGGCCCATAATTGCTCCAATTAGATTTGAGGCAAGTTAATCGAACTATTCAATACGTGCTAGAATCTAATTCAATCATTTTGAACCTACTTAACGAGCGGGGAGGAATTGGGACTTTTTTGATATATTCCTAAAAACAAAACAGCAATTGTAAATAGCAGTTGAGAAAAAGGAAAAAATCTTTTGAAAAAAGTTTTCAAAAAACCCAATAGCTTTTACAGAGCCAAAAAAACCCTAAAAACACCAAACCCATACTTTCATAAAAAACATCCACAAAACCCAAATTTACAAAAAAAAAAACATTTAAAACATCCATGATTTTACGGTGTTACGAGCTGTTCAAGTGTCGGCGTTGTTCTAACCCCTTTCCAATTATTCACGCGCAAGCGCGCGAGTTCAGTCCACTTTAAACGAGCAACGGTGACTTTTTAACGGACGCCGATGACCCGGAAAATCACGGTCTGGCAAAGTCCCCGCTATTTTTTTCTCGGGTTTTGTCTACTGTGACTTGCTTGTCAAGCTAGGGAAAAGACAAAATTGGAAGTTCCAATTTCATTCATTTCCATGGGAGAAATCTCAATTGTCTCCTAGGAAAAGCAGGAAGTTAGAAGGATAATGGATTAATTTTTGATAACCTTTAAAGATTTTATTTTAGCTCTCATCATAGCTGAGCTTTTATATTTTGGTCCCACACGCCAGATGACCAAGTTTAAACCCCGATTGGAGAGAAAAAATTTTACTTTCTATTCTCAACTTGCATAATAATTAAAATTGAAATATTTTAATTTTTTTTTGTTCAAAATTGAAAAAAAGTCGGTGGTCAAATGCATTTGTCGTGGACACTCGTATGTAGTAGACAAGTTCAAATCTCCATCCAGGAAAATTTTTTTTTGGTTTTTGTTTGTAATTGCAAAACATAAGGTCAACTTGATTCAAATTGGACCACTCATATCTCCTACACTAACAAAACACTTGCGGTTTTCATTGGTATCACTCATTTGATCAGTTATTTCGAAAAGTAAAAATTTGGAAGCTTCTCAGTTTGAAATAAGGAAATTGAAATTTTTCCAATTTTGCCCTCTCTTGTGGTGATTTCATAGCCTTTCATAATATATCTCTCCTCTTGTCTTTACAGTTGTCATTAAATGTTGCTATACCAGTAACTGATAGTGAAATGGTAAAGCAATTGCAAAGTAGATCCGAGAAACCAGTTCGAGTCCCAGATACGACAGCTCAACATTTTTTGTCATCTCTGGTAGTGATTTTATAGCCTTTCATAATATATCTCTCCTCTTAACTTTACAGTTGCCATTAAAGGTTGCTATACCAGTAACTGATAGTGATAGGGTAAGGTAATTGCCAAGTAGACCAGAGGAGTCAGTTCGAGTCCCAGATATGACAGCTCAAAATTTTTAAACTCTTTACTCTTTTTCACTTTGATCGATTTGAACTTATTACTTTTTCAAAAAGTTTTGCAATGTCTTTCGGATGATTTAAACACTAAATGTTAGGCTGTTTCGATTCCCCGCGGGGACTTGAGCGGAACAACCCTACAGACAACTTTTCATCCCAAAATTTATCGTCAATTTTTCATTTTGTTTAGTAGTAAAGATTATGCTAATTGCTTACTACGTTGTAGCGTGCTTGGCACAGTTAGTAGCACGGGTGAATGAGGAGCAGATGGTCAGGGATCTAATCCAGGTGACGTTTTGGGTACAACAAAATGTATCTAAAAATAGATCAGAAAGCACGGGTTACTGACCGAGTGCAAACAAAAAAGCCAAGAATCCTTCTTGGGCCTCGCGGCCTGACCCTCTTGGTGGTCGGCGTTTTTCCACCACCCTTGCGTACGAGCGCGCAGCGCTCGAATTTAGTTTGCTTTTTTGAGGGGCCATCACGAGTGTTTAGCGTTATGCTTTTGGCCCGGAAAATGATGATTTCGCAAAGCTTCTTACGCTATTTTTTCCTCGGGTTTTTTCCATTGTGACTGGCTTCCCAATTTAGGGAAAAGGCAAAACAGAGTTGCAATTTCTATTCAGTTGCCTTGGAGAAAACCCATTTTTTTCTGAGAAGAATTGGGAAAATGGAATAAAAATAGTGTGATTTTTCTAAATCTATTAATGTTTTCAAGTACCTTTATAGCCTGGCGTAATTATTTTTGTCCCACACGCCGGATGATCAGGTTTAAATCCCGATGAAAGACTAAAAGTTTTTCACTCTTTTTATTTGTTCAGTTCGCTTTTTTTCTTTTAAGAAAGCGTTTCAAAAACAACTTTTTTTTCTGCTCAACAAGGTTTTTGATCCACTGTATCTTACGCACACTCTTAGAATGAGTGAACAGGTTTGAAACACCAACAGAGAGTTAAAAAATTTTCCTTTTTAAAAATAACTCTTAACATGTTCCGTTTACTTCGAAATGAAATTTTCATGTTTTTCAAAATATAAAAAAAACGTGCAATTTTCAGTGTTTTTACCCACTTCATCTCTTTCTTTCTTTTTCTTTGGTTAAGAACAAATTCAAGAAAGCTAAGTAGAAAATCAATTGTTTCAATTTTTGTCCATTTCTTCAATTTATTGACTTTATTTCAAAACAGCTTCGTTTTCTCATCTTTTTGAGTGCCAATTAGTGGGTCTATACCAATGTTTGATAGTGAAACGGCAAAGCATTCGACAAAAACACCAGAGAAACCAGAGTGAACCCTAGATGAGAGAAATACAAGTTTTTTTAAAATTTTTTCTCATTTGATTGATTTGAAACTACTGAAATCATTTGAACTAAAATGTCTGCAGTTTTTTTCAATAGATTGAGTAAGCACAAAGTTTCGAGCTGTTTCGCATCCCCGCAGGGTTTGAGCGGAACAGCTATTCAGGCAGCTTTTCATTTAGAAGTTTATCTTCAATTGTTCATGTCGTTAGGTATTTAAAAAATTGCTCTATGTTTAAAGTACTCAACATGTCGACACAATTAATAGCGCGGGTAACTGGCAAGTCCTGTCTCAGGGTTCTAATCCAGGTGGATATTTCAAAAAAAAAGGTTGGAAAAAAGAGAAAGTTATAAAGAGGATGAGCAAAGCTTTCAAACAGCAAAAAGCCAAGAACCGTGATTGCGCCTCGCGCCCTGACTGGGATTTTTTGGCGTTCAATGATATATACGTAAAATTGAAATTCACAAAATTATTTATTGATAGCAGATAGGACTGCTCGTCTCAAGAATATATCTAATGTTTATTTAAACTAAATTATGAGCTGAACTAAATCACAGTTTTTGCTTCAATAGAACGAAAATAGTTACAACTTTCCATAAAACTTCATAAAAGATCACAAATCAAATATGTTTTAATTTAGTGTATGTGTCGATATTTTTCAGATGCTGTCAAAATTCCATTTAAAAATGGCTCATTATAAAAGTTTGTCAGAAGGGAAAAAAGTTCACGTCGAGTAAAAGGGTTTGATCCTTTTTTTGAAAGTTGGAACATAAAAAGAGGAGATAAACCTAAATCAATGAAAGAAGAAATGCCATTTAATTCAATCTTTAAAGTTTTTAAAGCCAGGCATATACACGTTCCAGCCATATAAAAATTTGCAGTTTTTTTCTCAGTCAAAACCTTAATTTAACAAGCAATTCACCAAATGCAATTTATCTGTGGAGTAATTTATCTGAGATATTAGAAAAAAGGGTTCCTTTCATCCCCCACGTTTCAACTTTGGGTTCGCAAAACTATTTTAACATTGTCATAATGAAATTAATCTTAGCATAATGAGCAAAATTACAATTGTTGATATCTTTATTTTTCATACTTTACATCGTATCATAACCTTACGCGTTTAGCCATAACAACACCTAAAACAACTCTCACAATAGAGTTTTTGAAAGTAAAAAAAAAGCCGAAAACAATTGATTTTTTGTTATCCAACCAAACTTCAAGACGTTAAAAAAGTGAAAAAAATAATGTCTATCAGACAAATTCATAGTATAGTAAAAATTGACCGAAAACGCTGATTATACAGTTCCATAAACTAGGTCTATAAAAAATACTAGTCATAAAGTGTTCATACATTTTTTTCTAAATTAAAGTAATCGAATTTTCACGGAATGTTCTCTTGTTTTGGCATAAATTTTTGTGTATCGCCATAAATAAAAAAGAAAGTTTTTGTTAACAAAAATTGCTAATCATACATATTCATTATATGGAAATTCTATGACTAGCATTTTGATGTTGGCGACATTTTGTTGCATCGAAGTAGCCCAAAAAATATCTTTTTTTTTGCTCAATCGCAA